GTAAATGTTAGATATTTTTAGTTAATCCTTTTTATTTCAAGTTCAACGTAAAACTTAAAATCAAAGAAGTTATATTTAAAACAATAATTAATTTGAATAAGATTTTTCAGTTACTGTTAATTTCACCTAATGTATCGTTGCAAAATAAAAAACTGGCTTAAAAATAATAATCAATAAAAGTATTTATCTTAATAATAATGTTTATTGCATCAGTCGTTCAAAAAAAAACATATACAGTAATAAAAAAAACAAACTTTCTGTCCTATTTATCTTTTATATATAATCTATTCTAAATTATTTTCATTTAACTTGAACATATTCGAATTTAAATCTAAATAAACTATTATACTCATATTATCTAATATTTTAATTGCTATAACTTTAATACATGATTACAATATACCTCTCCATCTGTTACATTGCTTCTCGACAGTGTAAGATCGTCATAAATTACCTTGTTTGTTAATGAACGACGGGACACCAACTTATAAATGATCGTTATTTCTTATATGTGAACCCTGTCGATGTTGGAACCACGTGTTTGTTGTTCGATGAATTGCAGCCGCTTTAGAAATCCGTTCATTTCAATATTTGGGAACAACGCTTTTTGAGAAACCTTCAGGGTCGTATTGGCACAAAAGGTGAGCGGCACAAAACTATATATATATATATATGTATAACAACGCATTATTATATTTTTTTTCTTCTTTTATTTGAGAGGGCTGCGCTCCGAAATGTAACGACTTCTCGGTACTTCAGGTAAAATTCGGCATTGTGCCAGAGAGCGTTTCGATTTTCGGGTTTTTCACTCGAAGGATTTTGGAAACTTGAAAAGGGTATCATCTCCTCGGTTCCCCCCAAGCATCCTTCTCAGTCCTAACAATCTCTCTCATTCTATGTTTCTAGTTCATAATTCAATGCATTCGCAACATATAAATTATAAGTGGAAAGAAGAATAATAATTGCATGAAATGCATTGTGCTACTCTACTCCTTGCTCGGATTGTCGTGAGGGGTTTTTCCAAAATGAAGAGATGTAATTTAACGACGTTTGAATGGCGTAAAAATTGAATGGGCATTAGCGAACACCGTTTTCTATATATGCATACACATACAAACTCATACACGTGTACGCAGTGCATATAAAGCGCATTGTTAAAACGCTAGTTAGTGCCGTAATGAGCTGGCGCATGTATATTTTATTGGTTCTTCTCTCCGTTTTTAGTCCTGTTGAAGATTCAAAACGGCATACTGTCTAATTAAAGTGCACAAAGGCACTCGATATACGCAAGGTAATTGTTGACTATCTATATAGAGATTTAATTAATAATTAAATCAGAAACTGCGCGCGGTAATTAACTAACTTCGTTAATTATAATATTTAAAGTTTCCCTTTCTAATTTCTATGGAAGTGAAAATAATTAAAATGCGGTTGCCGGGACAATAATGAATGAAATAATAAATATTTGCGCAAAACAACAAAATAAATATCAGCAGTTTATTTTATTATAAACATATGTTATTTATCATATTATTTATTTTTATATGTTATAACCTTTAAATTGATTCTTACACAACAACAAATTAACTGATAATATACATATATATTTCAATAAAATAAGAATTTTATATGGAAACATTTTTTTCTTGTCATTAATATATTTTCTAACTATTAGAAATTTTTCAAGTAAAGAATTCTACTATTATTATTGCAAAATAATATATTTTGTTCTAAAATTTATCTCATCCATTTTAATATATTTTATCAAATAAGAAGTTTTAGATCTACCTGGTATACGTAGTTTTGCTTAGAACCCTGAGGCAAAATATCAGTTCAGAAATGCATAATACTTAGCGGTTTTGTATTAAATCTAGTAAACATATTAAATCCCAACATCCTAAATCGAAGCTGTTTTTAAAATTATGTAAGAAACATAGTGAACTAACGTGTGGTTATCTACAATTTGAATCTATGCTAGAATTTCTTACATAAACAAAATCTGTTCTGTGTGACAAACTGCAATAACATAAGAATTATTTTTTTACTTATTTACAAAATTTAATGACTTTTAAAGGTAAATATGTTAAAATTGTTCAAGTTCAGTAACAATTTTCTTGCTATTTGCAAATAAAAGATGAAGACTTGGAAATACAGTGGAACCTCGTTTAACGAGCACTTCGCAACAACGAGCATTTCGCTTAACGAGCAAAATTAATTGTAAGGCTCGCTTAAAGAGCGACGTTTCGCATAATGAGTGACGATGAGAAGAGAAATCCCGGATTGGGACATATTATGTGTATTTTTGAAAATCCGAAAATTTTCATGTCCATTTTATGCTAGCATTTTTCAATTCACATGTAGTTGAAGTTCGCTTCAGTCATATAAACTCAATCTTAATCAAACAAAGAAATAAGTTAAAAGTAATATTGAAATTTACAAATTTTGATAAAAATTTCTGATTGACTTAATTGTATAAATATGCTTGTTTTTGTTGTAAATTTGTAAGTCATTCTAAAATATATATCTCTATTTACATAAATTCAATTTTTAATTGATTCACGTCAAGTAATTATTTGTTTTATATTTATTTTTAATTATTAAGTGTATATTTTAATTGTTGTGTAAATAAACAAATAAATATACTTTAAAGATTATATAAAATTTAAAATGCAAAACAGAACGTCCTGTGTCTCGAAATAAACAGTCCTTTTGTGCGTCGGTAATAACAGTTAAAGTCAAATAAATGGTTCATGTAATTGTATGTAATTTCTTGTGAATGTGCATGCGCTTAAAAATAGGTTCTACTGCGGATCCTCAGCAAAGCATATCTCCTTGAGAATTACAATCGAATCATCGAGTCGCACAGCTAATCGACTATTGAAATAATTATGCAACGGCAAAGCGTTCTGTCGAAGTACAAATAAAAGGAAAGGAAGAAACAACGAAAAAACGGATAGTCCGTGAAGGCAACGTTTTACGAGTTCATTAATCGTTCGGCGTCGTTTATTTCTCTTTATAAATAAAATATAGTAGTACAAAACTAATCTCCTTTATGAATGGGCTTTGATCGAGTGGGATGAAAGAAAATGAAGAGAGAAAAAAAATGGACACGTGCATTTACAAACGGCGGATATTTCTTGTTCTACGCGAACACAAACCAATTTGTCGACGATCTGGTTTCCACACTCGACATTGTACTTTTTTTTTGTCTTACTCAACTCATTATTTGATTTCCTCTATATTTTTTTTTTGGTTTGTAATTCGGTATCAATCATTTTATCAACGTGGCGTAATTGAAACTGCACGCGTTAATAGCGTAACGCGTCGTTTCCCATCCCGACTTTTTAGATTCTTTTCTGTTGATCTCATTCTTTTTTTTAATTTCTATTTTTCACTCACCGTCGGTTCTTTCTTTCGCTCAACTAATCATAAAACAATAATGTATTTAAATCATTTTAGCAGCCATGGTATAATAGATTGCAAGATAATAGGGATATAAGTTGAGTTTGAATTAGATGCCTCTGGCGCATCGGAGCTATCTCACCGCAAGAGCGTTAATCGACGGAAATGGGGCTATTTATTTTATACTGAATTCATTTAAACTCGTCCTAGCAGAAATCCAACGTATACATACACATGGGGATGAGGAAAGTAATTCGCACAAAACAAAAAACACATTTGAATATCGTAATCTATCATTTAATTTACTTTAACGTTTCATAATTTATTTCATAATCTTAGTAATTTCATATTAACAATATATTGGCATCATTTAACAAAATACAACAATGCAGTCTATTTAGTAATAAAACTACTAATATGGATAAATTAACTATTTGCATGTTTTTAATTAAAATTCTATCAAGTATAGTCGCAGTACCTGAAAATCTGAAACAACTTGTTGTGTAATTTGGACCCGACGCATCCACCAATTTCATAAAACATAATTAACTTCATTGTTGACTTAATTATAAAACCAAAACTTTTATTTTATATTAACATAATGTTAGAAATATTCACAATCATGAAAACAAAATTTAATTAAAAACTTATAATGTAAATTTTGTTTTGATTTTAATATTATCAACAATTATTGTAATATTTTCTTATATGATAAAGTTTATTTGTTTACTTTTTATTTTAATAAATGCAAAATTAATACAGTATTTAAAAATGCAAAGTTACTGTACTGACTGTTACAATATCATAAAGATTTTTATCAAGATTATTATGTGAAATAAATATTTATATAATCGTGTTGGAAATATTGTTGTAATGAAATAAACTATACTTCATCGACCAAATCCTTACCTTTTATAACATTTGAAAACATGTCAATTATATAGAAACAAGAGAAGATGTGATTTTTTCGTAATTGAGACAAAATTCTGTGTTAAAATAGCGTACACACAGAGTGAATTACTGAAAGGAAATTATATATTATGGTGTAACTATGTATCTAATGGGTTGTCCTTAAAATAATTTCGCATCTCTTACCGTATTCCAAGAGCTCAACTCACCGTGTACATGAATTAATCATCTCGAGATTCAAATAATTATACACCTACATGTACTTCAAAAACAAAACAAAAAGAATAAAAATATAAATAAAAAAATACAAAGCCGTGGAGCATTACTTTGTTGGGGACTTACGGAGGGGTTAGAAATTTTTTTCAGAAATTATTTACGCTTCATTATAATTTCATCAAAAAAAAATCGTGAGAGAAAACGAAACGAGAAATGAAAACAACGAGGGGCTTTACGCCTAATTTAACTTTTATTTATGTAAATTATTTGTTTTTATTTATTTTTAGTCATATTTTTGTACAAAAAAAAAAACGAAAAATTAAACGTGGATCCCGAAATTCCTTTTTTTTAACGCTTTTCGATACCGCTGGTCGGGATCAGAAAAATAATGATAAACAGAAGTTCATATATTTACACATATTTACAAAATTAATTAAACAAACTTAATAAAGAATATTGTTTGTATATCACAAAATATAATATAACAATTGTCAAGTGTTTTTTTTTTAATAATCGTCATCGATCGAGTCAGACACGTTGGATTCATCAAACAATTTTCAATTCACAAATCGTAATATTTTAAAATTTATTCATATAATAGATTTGTATTGTTTCTTGCTTTAAGATCTTTTTTCTTTCTTAGTTGTTTTTTTTTGTTGTTGTTCTGGGTTCTTAATCTGTGTTGCTTGCTTAAAGAGACTGACCTTCGTAGCCCTCGGACGCGGCTGAGGAGGGAAGTGATATTCAATCTCTGCTCCTGCGAGGTCTTCCGACTTTGCCTTTGCGGACCGTCGTTGTTGCCGAGCTCTTGAGCAGTTTGTGCCAGTCCTGTTCGCAAATTAGACTTCCTGCCAGCATGTAGTACCTATCTCCAGGGGACAGAAGGGCGCCGCACTTGCTGCACGCGAAGCACTTCAGATGGAAGACGTGCGGAGGTGCACCAGGCTGCTGTGGTGATGGGCCTCCAGACCTCATCACTAACTCGCTAGCCGGAATCGTCAGCCCGCACGCCGAGCACGCTCCCGAATTTCCGAACATCCTGCGGGAGCAATTATTATAATTGATCAATTAGAATCAGTTTAAACAAACATAACTTAAAACTATTATAACAAGCAAATAAAACAATCTTAAAAAAAACATAAATAAATAGCAAAATTATATGGAAAGAATGCATGAGAATCTAACGAATGTGCAATAATAAGCGTTTACAATTTAAATACATTATCATGGAAATAATTAGAAAGTTTATTTATTTTTTCTATTTTAGACCAAATGAAATGTTCAATTATTAAATTTCAACTGAAAATAAATGAAAATACTCATAAGGAAACAATATTCAACTAATTCATATTTTTTATATAATTAATCAAATAAAAACAGATGCAATACAACATATCCGTTTATATTATATTGAAGCAATTTCGGAAACATTTCTGATATTTTCATTACATCATTAAATATTTGATTTTAAAACTAGAAAAAATAGAAAAATTTGCTTATAAATGATTGTTTACTTGAATGACGGTAACAATTTACTAAAAAGTGTAAATTTTAGGTGAATCTTTAGGCAAATATATATACATTATTTCTTAAAAAAAATAACTCTGAAATGATGCATATGTATTGTTTACTTGAAAACAATTAATGAAGTGTAAAGTAACTGTATTTTTTTCGTTTTGCTTTGTTTTTCGGAGAACACAGAAACATCCCCTAACAATTTCATCGCAACGGTATGATGGAAATAATTGGCAAGGTAAATTCCGTAGCGGAGACTCTTACATGTGCTCATCAAATGGGAATTTGCATTTACTGGATTGTTAATGTAAAGTGGCCTGGCATTAATCAGTCCGTAGTGACAGGGCGGTCGGTCGATGTTATTAAAACGCTAGTACACGGCAGCTAATTAATTTTATGCAACGCCACACTTGAATGGCTTTCATAATGAATATGCCCGTGATGGTTTTCACTACCTCCTCCCGCTTCTATCTCTCCGACTCTGCATCTCTCTATCCCTCACTCACTCTCACTCCTCCATCCGCAAAACCCACATGCAATATCTCTCTCTCTCACTCATACCATGCCATACTCTGCTGTTGTCGTAGTTGTTGTTTTTTTTTGCTTTCTGGATGCACACACAACGCGATGACCACCACCGGACCTACATTTGATGCTGGTGGTGGTGTATATTTTTTTTTAACTCTCATCTCTTCTTTTGCGATTCCTTTCAATCACCGATACGTGATTGGAATTAACTTCCATTTACTTTAAGCCAACTGCGTTCATTAATTAAAACTCTAGGACTAAAAGAAATCAATCCACTTTTAAATTGGCTTTAATAATGTTCTCCATCTGACAGAAGAAGAGAGAAGCAAAAAAAAAACATTAATTCAATTAGTGCAGAATTTTTCCGAACCAATCTGTTTATTTTTTAACCTCTCACACCCACAATATTACCTCATTAATAAATTCATAATAGAATTCGCTTAAAATATTTATTTATTTTGTTCACGCTTAAATCCAAACTACTATTCGACGTCAATTTTTAGTAACCTCATTAGTTCTTAACTATTATAAAATATAATTTGACATATGTTTATAAATAGCTTTGTCTCTTAAACTTAAAAAAGCATGTTTTGAAAATCTTGATTTAAATATACAACGTAAGTTTACAGTAGACGTGCTTTATAATATAAAGATTCGTACACACTATGAATACATCATTTAAACTAGAAAAAAAGTTAACAAATCTGCATGAAAACAAATATAAAACATACTTTTTTTAAAATGTTAATTGTTTACATTTTTTATGTATGTATAGATTTAATGCTCAATTCATTGATAATATCGTTGATGAAATAATGTTAAAAGTGCCCCATCATGTTAAGCTATATATATACATAGTTAGTGTGAATCCAGCCATATGTTCTCAAAAATGGGGAAAAAACTACTTGTCACAGAGGTTCGGGTAAAAAATATGATTAATGCTCGAAAGCCATAAAGCTTTACGTGAATCGTGAATGTTTCTCATAGTAGTTCCGCTTTGCCAAGCGAATGAAAGAAAATGGAAAAAAAGAGAAAGAAAAAAGCAACGCTGAACAAATTTCAATACGGTATAAATCCATTGTCGATGCTTACTAGTGCATGATATGGCCAATAAAATATATTCAATTATTGAACAATTTAAAATTTATATAAAATTAAGATGAATTCATTAATAATTAAACCAATACAACAAAAGTGGAGAAAATAATAATTAAATAAATAATTAAAGGGATATATGTAATCATCACTGAAATTTATAAATAATAGTTTTCATCGGACTACTATTACATACTAGTTATATCCCGTTGATTGTCAGTGGATCCACAAAGTCGCCTTAATTAACTTTATTTTTTATATAATCGAAATATTTTTCGCAAAAAAGTAAATTGGTTATTCCGCTATTTCAGTATTGCTATCAACTCGAATAATTCAAACACGAATGAATGTTATTTTTTTAATGTATTTGATTGGTTTCATTAAAACGTGTCTGACTCTTACAGATAGATGGCAACGTTTGAGTTTCAACACAGTGTGGGGGGCTCTTTTATCCGGAACACTACGGAAACCGGCTCCAACTAACCCAGTGGTTTTGCCCCGACCGGTTATTGTACGATAGAAGTTCAAGGTTCGAGAGTTCCACCAGTAACACAAATTTTGCGCACTTGTATTTTTATCAATAAAATATGAATTATATCCATTATCAACAGGCTTTGAATGTAAAGAAATTTCACTAATTTAGAATGAATGGTTTATTTTAACTTTTTTCTTCTTGTTGGAGAAGAGAATAAGGAGGAAAATGAAGGTTTAATGAACGCAATTAAATGAAAGGAAAATAGGTTTTGAAATTTTATTATTGGCGATGAGGTTGTAAAACAGCGATGGGTAAAGAATTGAGCGCGGGTCCCGGAGAGTAAATTGAATTCGCGGCAGCTGTGCGAATATAAAAGGGCTAATCCCTTAATCAAAGTGATTCCAAGCTCATCTCGGGATGAGCGTTGTTAGTTAAAGCGTTGTTGTGTTTTCCGGGTTAATGTTTAAGAAATGAATGATGGAACGGAAAGAAACGTAGTGGTGGCGGTGGACCTCTTCCCCCCACCCTTTCTAGGTTGAGAACTTTGGGGGTTGAAAGAGAGAGATGTGAATAAATGGAGATGTGTTTGCGTATGTATGTGTGTGTGGGAAGGGAGAAAGAGAGTGTGTATGTATGTATGGGGATGTATGTGTGAGTGTAAGTGAGCTGGAGTGGAGGCGGCGAGGGTGGCTCTGGGGAATAACTGCCTAACTCAATTTCAGCCCCGCGCCGGGGGCCTCAATCAATAGACGCGTCGCGGTGGGGACCAATTACATGCCCACTTTCCTCGTAACACCGTTTGCATACATTTCGCCAAGTGCGACAAGGATGCACTCGTTACATCCCAAGTCTCTCAGACACCTCTCGCCACTCTAACTAATCTTTCTTTTAAGCACTTGTCGCGTGCCGCGCACGAAACTTTCCCTAAGCCAGAGCTCTACCACTTCCTTTTTCCTTCCTTTTTCAAATTGAATTTTCATTTCCGGTTAATTGTTTCACCATTCTTTCGACCGTGATCGTCCTTCGATTAGGACGACATCGTTAAGAATGCATGTGGCCCATCATTGTGCTTTCTTTCTCGTATTGAAGATGAACGACGGGCCGACCTTCTTCATCCATTCGGGGTTGGAGCCGGGGATGCTGCTCCTCTCTAATGAGATCTCGGTCCGGCCTTAATTGGCCCGGACGTCGGTAATTATCTGCGAGCGCGCAGACTTATATAATAAACGCCGCTAATAAAGTAAACAGCTGAGTCTATTTTAGCATACGCTGGTAATAAATCCAGTCGGGACGCTCTAATTGGATGGGTGTTTGACAGTAGCTATGCACCCCGTTCTATATACGGACCCCGTGGCGAGGAGCTTCTCTCGCAACTCTACTCAGTCTATCTCACTCATTCTCATTCTATATACCTCACTTAGCTGCTCGTTCTATCTCACCATCTCTATCCTTCTCTGCTCTCTCCGAAGACCGATCTATGCTAATGTGGCCCCGAACCAGAGCAATTATTCAGCCAACTTTTCACGCAAATTGCAATTTTGTTGTGCCCCTTCCCCCTTATTCCCGATCATTACCGCACCAAAAACCACCTTTTTACCCTCATTAAAACTTCACTAAAACATCTTATTATCTTGCCGAAGCCTCATCCGGCCAGAAAACTATACACTCGTCCAATTATACAAACGCCTTTAATTATCCAAACTTCTTCCAGGAAAACCAACACGACAACCCTCGATTAAGTGAACCCTTCAATCTATAAATACACATTACTAATGATCCAAAAACTACATATTTTCTATCGAATTTTTATGTCTCCTATATTTTAAATTAAATTATTTCAATCTTCCAAAAAGAAGTTTATTTCGCAACTCGACCACAAATTTGAGCATTGTGTACTTATTTATAAGTTTTGGTTCCACTAAAAAGTAGTTTAAGTTATGTACTCATATTATTTTAAATTAGCAAGTTTATGAATGTATATCATATTAGAATTTAATTTAAATTTGAAACGTTGTAGCAAAATGATAACGTTTCTAATTAGAACTATCTTATATGTATGCATATATATAGATGGGAGTGTATGGAAAATGGTGCGATTAACCGCGGGCAATTTGTGATTAACGAATCCAATTATAGGCACGTTGTGCCTCGGAAATTATTAGTTGTGCTGTTAATTAGATTAAACCAGAAACGGGGTTCTGCCTAGAATTGATTAACGTTCAGTTGTGTATCTGTGAGAGAGGAAGGAGATATAGAGAAGAAGATCTGTCTTGTTTTGCGTACGATCAAAATATGCGCCAAGCACGAATAAAAATAATAATAAAAGTAAAAAAAACATGTAGTGGATTAGATGCGTGGGCCAGAAAATAGGTTTACGGCCGGTAAATATAATCGATAGTAGTAAATTTTCCAATCAAAAAAGTTTGCGGCAGTAACATTTGTGTACATTTCCCTTTTTCCGGGAGAGGGGCCGTCGGGCTCCTGCAGTGACATATTGTGCCGTGCACGATGCGTTTAAGAACAACATAAAAAAGTTATCTCGTTTTACATGGGACGTGTCGTTTTCATCCCCCGCGATCTCAACCCCCGTTCTATCTTCTACCCAATACGGTTTCTATTTGCTCTCCTCTCTTAGTTTTTTCCTTCTCTGCTTTTGCCACAGGACTCGGTAATAAAAAAAAAGTGAGTCAATCAAGTGCAATCAAGTAGCAGTCGCCGTGACGTGGCGTTTTCTATTAGATTACCTAATCGCTTCCTCCGCCCCCCAATCATTTCCATCCCCCACAGCTCTTATTTGCTGTCAAATTATGTTCGCGTCTGTCATTCCGGCGTAGGCTGATTGCACACGTGACTGGCTCATAAGCGGCTCTTGACAGGAGCTGCCGCGATATTGCACCCCCTCGTCACCGGACACACAATTTATTATTTGTTTCTGCCGCCTCCGCAGCCACTGCTGCTAGCTACACTTTGCACGGACGAAATTTTTCCTTTCCTCTGTTGTTTCCCTCGTATTTTTTTTTTGTCGAAAAAACTCAATTTGTTCTCTGACATCGTAAAATGAAAACAACCACATGAAGGGACACATGCTAAACTCTCGCTTCTAATTTTTTGAACCTCTTTATTTATTTATCCATTTTTTTTTGTCTGTTGTAGTAAGCGCATACAGATCCCCCGTTGCTGTGACTCTTCCTGTCTCCTTTTTCTGGCGTTATCAAAAAGCGGTCTTGGGTGAAAGGCGGGTTGGGTTGATTGCTGTAGGAAAGGTAGCGTGGCCTTATTGCAAAAATGGCCTGATTGGATGCATCCAGGATCCGGGCTGATTGTGCCCCAAGCTCAAACCGCCAAATCAAGTTTGCCTTTCGTTCCGCGCCCGATACATAATGCACAAAGCGCTGATTACGTGTGGCGGTCCTCTCACTCCCCTTCCAAATTTAAACGCCCCCATAAACACCTCCAAGTCTAAAAAGATCAGTCACAAAGCCACGAAAAAAATATATTCAGAGCGTTTCCCAATTTGTTATTTTACATTCAATTTAATAAGCAGCATTCACTATTATATATTAATATAAACAACAATTCTTGAATTATCTAGTATAAAATATTAAGTATTATCTAGTATAAAATATTAAGTATTATCTAGAATAAAATATTAAGTATTTATGAAATAAGTACGAGTTATCTTCGATATTACGATATCCCAAATACAATGTACAATATTTTATAAGCTACGTGACAAGAATCACGTGTTTAGAATCGTACTCAAATAGTAAAAAAAACATTACTTTCTTCTGTTATACTATTTATAAAGAACATCTAAAGACGGAAACAGCGTTTTTAACTAAAATTGTTTCAAGTAAATATTGTCTTATAAAAGATATATATTAATAGATTCTTGAGATTCAATGATACTCAATATTGGCTTTGGGTCAAGTGAGTTTCTAGAATAATTATGTGATCTGATCATTATTGAATATTAGATGTGTGTTAGTAAGAGTAGCGACGAGTTTGCTTTTTTTCTTTTCGTCGGTTTATTCGAGATGGTTTTAGTAAAGGGATGATTGTTTGGTACCAAGGGGAATGGGTTTTGTAGGCAAATTGGTGCGTGTGTGCGGTGCGGGACCAATAAACGTAATTACGTGGTAATTCAATTAGCGCGGATGTGTGTATTAAGTAATGAGGATGGGCGAAATTTCAGTGTGTTAGTGTACCAGTGTTCGTGTATATATGTTTATGTGTATGTATGTGTATGTATGAGAGAGAGAGAGTATGTGTGAGTGTGTTGTGCAGAGGGTGGCGAGCCGGTGGTGCGGGGCGCGTGGCCACGCCGAGGGGATCGATACAAGTCGCGGCGCGTATTCAAGTTATGCTAATAAATTAGACGGCTCAAAACAAACCGCAATGCAGATCGATGTTTAAACCACACACTCGTACACATGCAGTAGGTTATGAACCTGACCAGGCGTATTTCATAATCTTCAATGAGGTCTTCTCTTATTGAAAAGACGTTGCGTTCGATTTACCAATTATTTCCAAGAAATGTAGTTCAAATTCGAAATACGCGAACAATTGTGTTGATAAAATGTAAAGTTTAGCATGATTGATGATTAACAGGTGCATATATTTACCTCATGTAATCCTGTTTACATAATATCATGCCGCCCTTCGTGAAGCACGACCTGCCGATGTCTGCGAGAAGGATCCCACAACACGAGCATTTTAAACATCCGTTGTGCCAGTAGCGGTCCAGGGCGTGCAGCAGGAATCGCTCGACTATTTTCCCGCCGCATCCTGCGCACACTTTGACGGTATTATTGTTATTGTTTACGGTGTGGTGAGGATGATGCAGTGATGTGGGGGCTGGGGCGCCGCCGTCGCTGCTGAATGCCGGGTGGTGATGGTGCGGGTGTTGATCGTGCGGACCCTGGTGACCTGCAATAGAATAATGCATACACGCACTTTAGCAATTCGCATTTATCAATCAAGCCGCACCGAAGTGCCCTGTCTTTCATTCATTTCAACCCCACAATCCATTCGCACAATATCCACGCATTTATCAAACCCTTATCCTTGCTGATCCTGCGAACTTATATTCAACATTAATGCCCGTACCGCTCCAGAGATGTCGCCCTATGTATCATTAAGCCTTGCTTACTATGTAATCGTACCACTATTCTAGAATTTACCAACTGTTTCTTAACATAAATCTATGAATTTATTTTAATACAATAAGATAAAATTCATAATATAATAAATATATTTTCATATCAAAAAGATCTTTATATCATTTCAATCTATTTTTCAGTTTAAGAACCTTAATTATATAAAATAATGAATATATTAGATAAATGTAATTACATTTAAATACATTCCATACCATTAGATAATTTAAGAATTAATAGCTATAATATACATGTTTGTTACTTGGTTTCCCTCAAACATATTACCTTGTCAAATGTAAACTGCTCCATTATCGATATGCACTTAGTTACAATGAGATTTTAAAAATAACAATTTGAAGCAAATTATTTTGTAAATTTAGTAAAAGAAATCACATTAATATAATATACAAAAAAATATCAATCTTTATTTTAGTATTAACGTTTATGTATAAATGTACAAGTACATATTTTAAAATACGATGATTAAACAAATCATAGCTACAGAAAACGTCAATGTATATAATTCGTTTTTAATGATTCATTTATCAAGTGACTTGTCAAAACATTGGTACTGTAAGTTCGAAGGGTCGAAAAGCTTAACGACCATTCGTTCACATTTTATATGCATTCAAATATCAGAGTCAACCGGTGTCACCTAATCCTCATTATTTGTCTTCATATTACCGAAATCTTCGGCATAGCTTTGGCAGTGGGAGGTATCCTGAATATTCATGAACGCGTTTTCGACTTTACAGTTTACTAAGAAAGCTGTTAGATTACGTCGCGCACGGAGGAAGCGTAATCGCCGTGTGTTTTCACCTGTCTATACGTGTAATTTCTTCTTGCGCTTATCGGCAGGTGGAATTAAAGGAGACCATCAAAACGCCATTAGCGCAAAACGTATCATTATTCATTACAACCACGAACCACATTAACCTTGGATATCCTCCCTTCACTATATATTATTTATATAATGAACGCAGCGCACATCGATATAACAATATTAATATACCGAAAAAACAAGATAAATCCAATTAAGTATATTTTTTCAATTATAAATCTAATTTCATTTACTAAATCATTTTAATAACATATAAGAATGAATGTAATTGTAAATTTAAGAATTATATTTTTATATTTGTTTAAAATTACCCTTAGAAAGCATTAATTTGAACATCGATTGGAATAAAGGTTTTAATCTGTTATTTAATACAAGAAAACGTATATTCTTCTATTGGGGAAGGGCAAATATATAAAATATAAAGATGTATTCAAATAAAATTAGGCAGAATAATGCGATTATTTACGAAATATAAATCAAAATCATTACTTTATAAAAAAATGCAATTTGTTATAGAACTAGGTGCGACGTGCTGTATTAATAGACATTATGATAGATAGATATGTGTCCAATAATAATATATTGGAATAGATAGTGAGATGGATGTTTCTGATAAATTGAAAGCAATATTGTCTGAAATCACATAAAACAAATAGATATGATAAGCCATATTGAAGGAGGTACTAAAAGTTCAATATTGAACCATATTTTAGATTCTGCACGTACTACTGACACTTTAAGAGTGAGGAAATGAGTAATTCCATAAATGTATCCACAGGAAAATACATAAACAAATATTACATATAAATGGTGTGTTATATTACCAAATATCATGTTTTAAAAGTAATTAAAATAACATTCAAGTACGTTTGTATGTAACTAATGAACATTCCTATGACTATTATTTAATCTGTTGCTTATATTGACTTTTATATAATTTATTTAAATTTTTCTTAAAACAGAAAGTATTGTTAGAAATAAGAAATATTTACAAAATAGTAGATTTTTAAAACACCTTTGAAGAATTATATATAATATTTTGAAAATGTTGATCTTTCTGAGAATTTTATTATTTCTATATATATTTGGATTTCATCAATTTCATTAATAAAATTTAATATTGTATTCAATAGATTTATGTATTTCTTCATAACATAAAATTAAATTGGTAAAATGGTAGATATTATTACATAGAAGGCAAAATTAATACATATCTTATGTATATTCTTTAAATTGGTAATTTATATACATAAGTTATTTGGAATTTGGATTTGAAAAAAAGTAATTGTTAAGAGAGAATTTGCGTTTGGTAACAATAAATTAGCACATTTGATTAAAATTCCCATGTGATGTTCCCTCGTCAAGCCAAAGTTAAATTGCTTCATAAAGTATGATAAATTACGTGTACTTCAGTGGCACATTTAAATAGACACCGTATGTGCATCACGCGTAATTTTCGCGCATCGTCAAATTATATTAGTCGAGGGATGAAATATCGTTCTTACTTATGGGTCCCATTGTGTGTCCATTTGTGGGGTGCATATGTGGAGGTCCGGACGGTGGATGTCCAGAGTGGTAGTTGTTGTTGTCCGGCGAGGGCGGATGCGGAGACGTCAGCTCCGGACCACCGTAGGGGTGATAATGGGGGTTCATTGCGGCTAAAGCACTGGCTGCCAGTTTGCCGGCGGGTGCGCCTTCCAGAGCGCCTACACTCACACGCGAAAATATACCCGCCACGGGTCCGCGACCCAAAACAGACCCGGGCCGACCCGAAACACGACCTCAACAACAACAATAACTACTCTACTGCTATCAGTAAACAAACAATAACGACAACGACGACTGCAACTGTAAGACGAAGAACTATCTCGTGATGAAACGCAACGGTATCACTCTACCGATAACACGAAACAACGAAACTGGGACTCCCGGTAATCCTGTAACAAACATACATATACATTAGTGATGTAATTGTAAGATTAATGTTTAATTTTTCTATTTATATATAGCAAACTACAACAAAAATAAAATGTTCGAAAGGTAATCAATACGATTAATTTTTATAACATTTTTTATGTTTATGTTGAAAATCTATAATGTTAATAAAATAAAATCTTTACAAACAATTCAATTCAATTTATTGCTAAAACTAATTCAAAGCTATTTTTAATGCACTTACAAATATTTACTTTCTCAATATAATTGTTAAAGCTTCATTCAAATGCTTGTAAATAAATGTTTTATGTTTCCATTTGTACTGGGGTGGATACAGTCAAAATAATATCTTTGAGATATAATCGATAGGATTATTTTTTATTACTTTTTTGTTACGTAATATGTATATGGTTGGGGTGGATGTAACGTAGGGGTGTGTAATTTATTGAAGCAATAAATAATGAAATATTAATAAGAGTGAGCGTGTTTTAAATTATTAAATATATTTATATGTACAGCAAGATGGTAAAGTCGAGAAATAAATTAAAGTAAATATAGCGAACGTGTGTATCGCCGCTCGGCAACAATATGAGCAATATTGCATTACAATTCGGCATTAAGGGCGAGGGCGTACAAATTATTGCCGTTAGAGGGTAGATGGCTATTTCATTGAGTAGGGGGCGGTCCAATTTTTTCCTCTCCCTCGACTCCGAACAAGGAACTGTAATTATGTTAGTATAGGGGATGGTAATTGCTTTTTAAAAAGAGCCTCTTTTTTGCACCGCGTCGCTACAATTTTTGCATTATTGGATGCAGAAGCAAAGAAACTGGAATAGACGAATCTCAGGAAGAAAGTGAATACGTATACCTGTGGGAGGGGAAGAAGTAAATCATAACCCCATCCGCAAAAGGATGGCGGGACCCCCCAAACATGAAACGGCCGACAGCAATTAAAGCAGGTAGGTAGGATATTTCCGAAGCTCTTTCTCTTTTCGCACGGACCGGTTTCGCAAATTTCGGAAAACTTGAAACATTTACGTGTTTTTAAGCTCTACTGAAATCTTTTCGTTCCTGTTGTCGACCGCAGCGAAACAGATTCAAAGTTAAAGATAAAACTCCTAGTCTCGGGAGCATTTCGAAGTACTTAATTGCACCCGGATCCTACATTCCACCAACTGTATTAATAATTAAAACTATTAAAATTTCGATGCAATTAACCTACGGTATCATCATTACAAGATATATCCTTGTAGCTGGAAAGCGATTACCAGATCACATCATATTTTCATAAATTATTACCGGGACATAATCGAATTGAATCGGCGGATGGTAAGGGCGGACGGACACGGCAGATCCAGATCTCCGATGTCAGAGCGTTCCTATTTTCTGGCCAAAATCACATTTACCAAAGTGATATTTATTTCCAGTCGCCGGGGCCGAAAGCAGAAAGAATGCGAAGCGGCTTAGGATAATTGAATAAAAACACGTACATCCTCGATAGCCACCCACCCCTGTGTTATTTCTCTCCCTTTATCTTTTTTTTTTCGCTTCTTCTCTCCATGAACCCGGGTTGTAATTGAGAACCTTTTTTTAATTGTTTTCTGTTACAGGCGGGGAAAACACATCATGCTTCGTGATTTATAAGTCTACGAAAAATGTACGGAAATGCAATTAGCAATTTGCATGGAAATAATTGGCAATGTAAATTGGACCTGCATGCTGCTCTTACAGTAACAACAACAACAAAAAGACGTATCATTAATCAAATTACAAAAAACCCATCCTAATTTGCAAGTGAAAAATTCAAATTATTTCATATTTATAGCTACCTAAGAAATACATACAAATTCAAATATTTGTTTTGTACCTTATTTATTTCTTTTAAACTACATATATATTATTCCATAAGTGAAATTATTGCTCATTATTCATGTACTTCAAAATAAATATATGTATGCCCCAGAAAATTTAATAGTTTTAGATATTCAATTACATCGTCTAAAATGGATAGATCCATCATCAGAACTATAGCAATTCAAGCATATAGAAGACCCTTTTTTACACAAATATATATAGATTTTGAGGAAATATTTAAAGGCTGTCACGTTTTATGTTCCCAAGCTGATTTACAGCGTGAACTAAAAGTGTCCCGACACTAGTCCTTAGCACCCAATCCAAACAGGCGGATTTAAAAATACGAAAAGGTTCCGTAAATATACACGGGATGCTAGTGCAGATGAGAGAGGAAAGGAAAATTATTGAAACTGATTTGCAAGAAGCGTGTATCGTTATCATTAGGTCGAAAGGTAGGTTTTTATCCCGGCGTGTCCAAACAAAATGAATAACTGATAACCGAAGCTGAGCACACCGAAGGAATAACAAATTACCAGAGGGTTTGTTTGTTTAGGAAGAGGACACGAGGGCTACGGCAGCCACGTGCAACAGCCGGTTTCGGGGTCTTTGAAACCACCGCACTTTTACCTTCGTGCACGCCTCTGCCACGGAGCATTCCTCGCAACACTAAGATACTAAATTTACCTTTACTAAATTTGGAAGCACGATTGAACTCTTCGGAGCACTGTCGTAATTCTGGTAGGTGTTCGGATGTACGGAAAACCGTTGATGTAATAATCCCAAAGCGACTGCACGTTATTTCGTCGAACACACGGGGTTATAAATAAGTAAATACATGAATCACTTCCTTCCTGGTCTTAGGGGTTCTTTCGCTTCTTCGTTTCTATCTTTTTTCGCTTGTTTCCTTTTTTGAGTTTCCGCTAAACAAACACTTGGAAACAACAAAAGAGTTCGTCACTTCACTGGAGGCACGCGAAGAATGGCATGTGCACGGCTGAAGACACTTTGCCGCGCTATTAAAGGAAGCCGGAGGAATAAAAGAAGAACACCTATTTCGGATAGATTAGATCTAATCGTTATTACGAGAGAGCTGGGGTGAGATAGTCGGAAAGTGGACGTAAAACACGATCGTCGTTTTCGTCGGGAGAGAGCGAACCGTTGTGCGACCGATATCGGAAAGCAATTTGTGAATTGTGAGACTTGTAGCTTAGGGTTGCTTGCATCCCCCTGTTACGCTCGAAGGGTCTGCGCGCAAGTGGTGGGGGACGGCGACGCACAATGCGTGTCGGTACGCGCTGCCTGCGTACTGGAATCAGCTCTGCTCAGCACGGCTCAGACCAGACCAAACCAGACCTTCATACCATATAGTATACTATACAGAATAGTGGTAGTAGAGCGGTGAGGAGACGAGAGGAGTGTGCAGCAGAGCCGAGCGCCCTTTCAACTTCCGAAGGGCGATATTATTAATGCGATACGACTCCTACTGGCTATTCACAATTAATCCAATTCCATCAAAATTCGCACTCCAAAAGCAATCCCCTTTTCCTCCCCGCACACACACAACGCTTTAATAAATTCAAATTGAATTCTTAGTACGTAACAATCGATAAGAACGAACCAAAAACGATTAATTACAGAAATATACAATTTTAATAAGCAAACAAGAATAGGTTTGCTTGATATATCGCAAAACTATGCTAATAACAGCATTTAAGACTATCTACTCTATATCAATAAAACTTTATTCCTCTTGCTCAAAGAATAACAAAAATGGTAATAATGCTTTGTAGATTTAAAATTTTACATTAATATTGATTTTATTATTTTAGCAATTTCATACTATTTGTTTTTGTTTTCTTGGAATCGTCTAATTACGACATTTTACATTAAACGTTATTAGGTGGCGTTCGGTAAGCGAAACTCAGCCTAATAAATACAAACTTTCGACTAAATTGTATAAGAGTATTGAATACAAAGTAAAGTTATGAGAAAGTAATAATACGTGTTGTTTGAGCAAAGTTCCGGCTGTAAACATTATTATTGTTCCTTTTTTTCCTCGTTCTCCGGCTGCAGTCGTACATATGGAATATAAAAATTGCTTACAATTAAAAAACTTTTCCAATCTTGAAATTTACGTGTGCCTTGGTCCTCGTTTTGTTCCTCGCCGAAGAAACAAAACAGCAGCAACAAACGACAACAGCAACAAAAGGTTGAAGGGAGAAGGAGAGATGAAGAGAGAGAGAGAGTAAAAAAGAACACACACGAATGGTCGATATCAGACGCGAGTGGCGCTCCGGCCGTAAAATTGTATATTTAAGGAAGAAAATGGGATGAAATAATAAAAAGTGCAAGCGCTCGCGATTATATATTTCCTCTAGTGGAATTACTAAACCTCGTCAAAACATTTTTAGAGCTAATTTGAAATGCCAATGCGGCTAAATAAGAGCCCTCCAACTCTCTTTTTCCTTTGCCTCGCCGCTCTCCCTCATCGCATGTAACCCGGGATTTATTTCAATTTTATATTTCCGCATGATTTATGTATACATCTTGGAACAATTAAAGCGTGCATTTTTGCAAAACTTATTATGCAGATTCAAGTCGAGGATCTCGTTATTTCGGACTGTCCATTTCAACCACTAATCCGGGACACAAGAATCACGGATCGTCGCATCTTTTCTTCCTCCTTGAATAAATCCAACCAGCAAAGAATAATTCTAAGTAGCAATTTCGTCCATGTAATTTATATTACAAGGAAATTGCTAATTTTGACTGTTAAGATTAAAGTTTATTAAAAGATGTCCTACAAAAGAATTACTTATTAAGAAATACTTTTTTAAGCATTTTTATACTCCTTTGTAACGTCTTAATTTACTAAATCATCGTTCAGTCGGTAAGTGTCAAGTCTGAAGACTTTAATATTATATTGCCTGTTTGCATTGCTAATTAAACAAGTGCATAGTCGATGAGCTATGAAAATTGAAAGCTAATATTGGTTTAGAGAAAATTAGCAGTCACGAAGAGTATATTTATGGTATCAACTAAATATTGATTGTTTGTTCAATTAGATTTTAATTACTTTCAATACTTATAACTTTACTTAGCAATAATTTATATACATATATTAATAATAAACATGTTTCACATAAAT